ATCTTGAGTAGCAACCATGAAGTACATATGCGCCGAGATACATTTGGCAGAGGCGATGACAATAATTTACATCGACGTATATTAGGAAGTGACCATGACACAAGTATACCGCAACATACCTTCTTCCTCTTACGGAATCACTACCACGGTAATTACCACATCACTGATTTCATCATGCAGGCACTGAGTCAAGAAACCAGATGACAGTTTGCCGTAGTCCGCCAATGGAACATCGAAACACGACAGGCTGTGCCATTGGAACAACAGAGTCAATATCTTATCATCCTGTGGTCAATGCACCACGAAGTTCGCTTACGTTTACGCCACCTAATACAGTCAAGGACGCCCTCATGCACTAAGGGGCTACTTATTGTCGTTCTGACGGACAGCTTCTTGTTAAAAGACAACGAGTTACGTCTCGAAATATTGAGAAACGCCACTGATTATCCCACCCATAACGCAATGATCGTGATGCCTACTTCACAGTACAAACACACAAATCTGGATCATGACACCGATAGTTCTAATGTTTTGGATCTGTACACATGGTTTCCGAGAGGGACCAACAAATATTGCGGTGAATTTCGAGAACTATCGCTCATAAATCATTGGCTTATTGAGGGAGAAGGGAGATTTCTTAATAAACTCAATCTGTTTCGCAATACAGCACCTACTGACATTCAAGGATGTACATATACTGTGTACAATGCTCACAAAGAATTTTCTACAGCCTTATCGCCCGTCGCGTATCTAGAGAATAACATTTTTGAACTAATTATGGACTCGCTCGACGTCAAAGTCATTCACGTGGAAAAATGGACGATAGACAATGACATTTTTTATGGTGGCTTTGGAATGAACATGGCCCTCTTGCTACCAGACAGCACGGCGTACGTCAGTTATCCTCATCTCTCCACGGCTCTCAAATGGTACGTTGAATGCGGGAAAGCAGTTCCTCGGCAGGGAAATTTCACCAAGGTATTCACATGGCCCGTGTGGTTGGGACTCTTCCTAGTGTGTTTGCTAGCAGTTCTGGTAACATTCTGGATATATAAGAGTTCGCACCATCCTCGCCGTATTTCTGAATGTTTCCTCGAGGTTTGGGCTGTGGCCGTCGGAACGTCAGTCCCCCAGAATCTCCACTCTTGCCGACTAAGAGTGTTCTTCTTAATATGGATGTGCTACAACCTTTCCATCAGCGTAGTGTTCCAGGGTTTCTATACAAGTTTTCTGGTACAGTCGGGACTTCAGAAACAGACCTCTACTCTAGAAGAAATGCTTCACTCTGGCGTAAAATGTCTCTCCACAGTAATTGCCGCTACGCTGTGGTGCGTAGATAAACTAGACGTTTGCAATCGCTGTTTTTCACAGTGTAACGACACGTTAATCTGTTTGGGTAACCTTCTGGAACCGGTCAACTATGCTGTCCTAGCCAATGAATTAGATATGGAAGTTATGCTACCTTACCTTAGTAAGGAATATTTATACTGCACTACAAAAGATGAAGAGATACATACGGTTTATACGATGTTAGTTAGCAAGAGGACCTCCGCCATCGACATTATTAACACAAAAATACTTCACATAACAGAAGCTGGTATCGTAGACAGATTAAAAAGGGAATCTGTCATACACACGAGAAATAAAATAGCAACCAAACATCAGGATTTTCTCACTAAACGAGAGTTTCCAAGCCTAAAATCTTCGTTAGAAAACAACGCCGCCTCTGAGGAAAACAATGATGAAGATTATTTCGTATTCTCAATTTCACATTTGCAAGTAGCATTCTATATACTTATAATAGGCTACGGCGTCAGCTGTGCAACATTCCTAATAGAGGCACTCGCCTATAAACAAAAGTCTGTGTCATTCCGATCAACGTAGACAAATGATGTGAAAGTCTATCTCTGCATCTCAAGTTAAACCACAATAGCCCATATTAATCATGTGGAGCCAAGAAAATTGAAACCGTACCACCAAATATAAAGTTTAAATTTTGCGGATCGGTTACCGCTTAATTCAGAGTTTCTCAGCCAATACGACAGCGTGAATTCCGCGGCATTTTAAACTCAAAAACGCTTCTGACATTTAACATTATGCCTTCGTCACACAGAGTGGAAAGGCCGGCCCTCCTTTCTCTAATCAACACGTGGTACTATTTCTTTGCTCATTTTTTTTCATACTAGCCTTTAGTTTTTTTCTCAGTACCGCCATTAATTAGTCTTCAATCATACAAAATTATTTAAACTGTTAAATTTGTCTATTAACTGCAATTCACATAAAAAATCCTGTCCTTCGTAAGGCCTTTCTATTTTGTGTGGGTCGTCTGACAAAAGAATATAAATATCCATAATAACAAACAAAATTTATCAAATTTTATATTTCGCGAACGCTCGCACACACGTTTATAAGAATCCATGAGTTAGTGTAGTGTGAAGTCTTACACTACGTTATATTTTTTAGTATACTACAATTTGAGAAAATCTTGAGACATATTGACTTAGACCACATCAACCCTGATCATCTGGCAGTGAGTCGGATTTTAGTCCACAGATCAAGAATCTTCTAGCTTTGATTCCAGTTGAAACGAGGCACAGGCCTTGCCCCAGGGAAATTAAACTCTGTCTAAGGAAAGAACGCCTGCCTGCACTATGAGCTATGAACCACATCCCGTTTCGTATTATTTTCAGCGTAAACATCTAGTATTTCTATAAAGAGAACTAAAAATCTTAAATTAGATATCAGAAATTGTTCAGTCTTCTTTGCGCTGAGTACAGAGTTATTAAATAGTAATCAGTACCCTCAGTGGCATGCAGAAAGATTTTTGTGTCACTGTTGGAAACCAGAAAACTTATCAAAAGCCAGATCCTAGAGGTTTCGACTGTCTGTGGCAAGCTTGGATACCTTACGATATATCTAGACAAGTCACAAGGCTCGTTGGGCCACGTATCAACAGTTTCCGGTAAGATTTTTTCACTTAACATCAAAACCATTTGATCAATATGATTTTTCCAGTTTATTTGGTTATCAATCTGTAATCCATAAAAATTCTTATTTATTTCTAGATGTTTCGCTAAATTTGAAAATTTTATGCAGTTGTCCCCGTGACTTGTATGAAAGCTGTGTACTGTGATTAAAATCTCCTGAAAAACCTCTGTATAAGCTTGGTTTAATTTAGAAATTTTGTTTCCAGTTAAAATTTAAATTATCAATCTGTATCTGTATTACATCAGCCAGGGTGGCCCAGTGGCAACAATTATTCATATATTCTTAAGATAATCGAAACAAAATGGAATTTCCGACAGAACACAGGCTCCTCTAATTACTCATTAATTCATCATACACAAATATCTTCAAACGCATCCAATGTCACGTAAGAGAAAGCGGTCCTTATTCGCATTCAGTGTATTTAAAATCTCCATCAATTAGGCTACTATACTGAACAGGTTGCCTGCAAAGTTTACGCTGCACGTCTACTGAAATAGCGTACTTTCTCTTAGCTAATATCTCTTCTCCAAAATATGTTACCTGTGACCACACTGTATTCTCTTTGTCGACGGCACATTGCCTAAATGTTCGAGTCAGCTCTATTATACAAAAAATAAATACCATTGTTTCATATAATTTCACATTAAATAATCTTCATTAGAACAAATCACCACAGCAAATAAAGCTTACCTGAGTAACGTGCCAGTGAACACATGTAGTCCTCTTGCATTACATGGCTAACCTCCTAAAGCTTAAAGGGATGTCTAATTATCTCACGGTCTTCAGCAAAAGGAGACGTCATTCATGTCACTACTTAACAGTCACACCTGTTCCTAGCCTAATCGTTCAATATTGTAGCTCACATTTCATGAATTACAACCCTAGATTGATGTACATTTTCCGATATACGAAATCACATTTCGATGAACGACATTAGCTGGTAATTAAAACGCACTAACCTACACAATGAACTGTGTATAAGATGTTTACATCCAAAGTTCAGGCTGACCACAACCTTCAATTTGAAGTGTATCGTTCAGGCTAACCACAACCTTTAATTTAAAGTGTATCGTCACTTATCACTGAAATAATTATAAATTAACACTTCAAGCACACGAACACCGTTACAAACACCAGCTCAGCACTAAAGCTCCCATTTCACTTCATTTCAAGTATCAGTCAATAAACTGGCATTTATCGTCTCGTATCGATAACCTACGAACAACGCGAAATCTTAACTTTGTGAACGGTGAAACTTCCATGTGCCAAAATGAATTTAGAGTCCTCCTTTACGAAGGTAAAAAGTTATCAGATAATTTGATAACTTCCTGAAATTTCTGTACATTGCCCATTAGACTCCAATTACAATATTTCTTCCTCTGATGTGTTTATTAGATGCCTAGCAGGAATATCTATTTAAGAGATTTGAAATTACTACATAACCACAAATTCCAGCTCACAATTATTCTTTATTCATTATGGAGAGATTAACGAAGAATTATCCTATGTGAAGCATTGGCATCTACTAACTAGGCCACATGGCAGTTGCAACTCAGATCAACATTGGCAAGGAATTAACCCATCCTGTTACAACATACATGTAGAAACACTATAACAAGTCTGTTGCTAAATATGCAATTATAATAAAATTCTAAAGAAATTCTTTTTATTGCAATATTAGTGTATGACAACACTTGCAGTCAAAAAAATAAAGTATTGCTCCCCACCCTCATTGTTGCATCTCATATGCACCATTCTTTGTACATAGAAAACCTAAGTATATACATATATAAATATATGGACACGAATATTCATTTACACACACCTAATTTCTAAATTTTACGACAGTAATAACAGTAAAACCAAAGTTTGCATATACCCAAGTTTCAAATTAAACAAAATATATACTGACCTTGTACTTACTCCACGTCGCCCACTTGCTATCCTCTTGAATTTCAAAGAAGGTATACCTACTACAAAATCAACACAGTTTGTAAAGAAATATACAAACATCAACAACCATTTCTTCATATAATACTGTTCATTTCAAGGAGAAATGAATATGTAAGTTTACAGAAGTACAATTGTTACCCTCATGAGAGAACCTTAAGCTAAAATATAGACTGTATTTAAACCTTTATTAATACATTTGATAAAAATCAACCCATAAGGTAGATGCTACTTACTAAAATGGTATACAAATAAAGTTCCATAACCTTTACATTTCTGTAGCCCACAAACTGAGGCCTTCAAAAAGTACTGTATTCAGAATGATGAAGTCTGGCTTGTATCAGACAATTTTAATCTAAACTTTACGTGTCAGAAATTATTTTACTAAAATATGTTCACATCAAACTTTAGGTTAAAGTATTTTAAATTTCCATTTTGATTTGTTTAATGTGCTGGTAATCAGGATACCAGGATGGAAGGATCCTGTTTACAATGTTGCCAACCTCCTGCAAAGGAGACAGTGTAATAAAGAAGAAGAATCAGGATAACATAGCAGTTTTATCTACTGTACATCCATTAACCAACAGGAAAGACAATTGAGTTTGGGCAATATATTTTAGTCATGGTCACTAGTACCAACTAATCTTTATAATAAAAGTTCACTGTAATTTCAAGGACATGATTGGATTGTTAGAACAGGTGCTTTTCCTTTTTTCTTTAAATTAATATTGAACTTAACCACATGCACATCAATTTTTCAAACCATGTGAAATTTTAACAATTTCCAAATCTGTAATTTTCTTATAAACTTAACATTATTTTCTGATCTTAAGTAAAAGTTTACTTTACCAACAATAACAAAATATTAAATTGTTGTATTTCTTCATTGTTATCCATTCTGCTAGCACGTGATTCCAGTGACAGCGTGCATGTCAAACAGAACATGATGACGGCAACAATTAAACAGAAAGCAAACTGCTACACGACCACTCATCTCCAGTAGGACTTTTCCGATCTGTTCGTTTATTACCGACAGGCACTCAGTAAATTCACAGAGGCAATTAATATTTTACAAGGTGATCCAGCACAATATGAAGTGAGTGCCCTACAGGAGAGGCAGGGGTGACTATTTATTCCAATTCTACGAATAAAAGTTACAAACTGAATTAATTCGGATAAAGTTACAAAAAAATACAGGTTACGCCATAGTGATAGATAGTGATGACACTAAATAAAAATAATATTAAGTGTTAGCTAAACATCCCTGATACAGGTATGTGAATTACTTCAACAGTATTTCTTTTTAAGTTTAGGTGTTTTTAACCCTACTTTCTGCAAGCAGCCGGGAGCAACAAGTCGGACGTGCCAGTATTCGGCGTGTTAGGTAGAAGCACTGGCAGAAAGCACCATTTCCCAATCTATTCCACTGAAGAATGGGTGAGACTTCAGTTCTTGTACACCATTCACTCCAGCCCCAAGCCTTTCTTGAGGGATGTGTCTCAACAACTGAAAGGTGAAATTCACTGCGTAAAATGTGGTCATGTCCCATTTTAAGATACAATCCCGGCATTTTCCTGGAGGAACCAAGGAAGCTCAGAACTCAGGATTTGAAATTGGTACTTTCTGAATCCAAATCAGTACGTAGACACTACACCAACTAAATTCGCCTCACTAGTTGTGGTGTAATGTAACATGCTCACCGCGAATGTTACATTACGAGTAAATGTTACAAGTCAGTCGCCACCTTAAGACAATTTCAAATATCACTGGGCTTCAATTACTTACTTTATTCTGCCAGTCGATGGCACATGATCTGAGAAAGTAACTAACAGAGTATGACTACAATAAATTTTGAGTCAATGAAAGAAAATAGCTGCCTTGTTACGTTTCAGAGTTTCGGGTATATTACGCAAAATAACACTACTGAAGAGTACCGAAGTCCAACCTCTTAACACCAAAATTTACAATAATTAACCAACTGCCTGCAGAACATCCATTCATTTTGGAGGCATTAGATATTTGAAAGGATCCAAAATGTTTTTGAGTGAAAGACGATATACTTCGATATTTCACGACAGATACTGTGATAATTTTGTGGCAAATATATTAACATGTTTGATATTTTTATAGGTATTTTGTGTCTATAAAATCAAATACTTTACAAATGGAATTATATGTTGATTAGTTACTGAGTTTACTTCTTTTTGGGTTTATGTTTGTTTTTCACTACAATAGGGTATGAAGACCCAAATCTGCAATCTGAAGATAACTTACCTCTTTGAGCAATGATTTTGCTTCTTCTGATATGTATTCTGGAATGTTGAGGATCGTGTGGCTGTGAATACCACCAGGATGGCATGACAACAAAGACTGTAACATTACACGCCTATATTACAACACTACATTCTGAGCCGACTCTCCCCTTTTTATAAACATGCAGGCGACTTGAGACTCATATTATCGCTTTTTAATTTCCTGCTACTAATGTTACCAACATGGCCACAAACTGCCACACCACACTATGTAAATTGCCATATTCCGACACAATTATATCCCTGAAACGGATGGAGAACAAACAGCAGATTCCACCCGCATTCCTGATTTTCAGAACAACTGCTTTCTCCTTTCTGATCTACAGTGTGTCCACAAAGTCCCTTCGGGGTTTTGAAAAATTGTGGCTTGCTAACAAATTGAGCTAGCCACATGCGGTTTGCGGCAGATTACAGTGAAACTCCGGAAGTTTATTACTGACCTCAGTATACCTCAGTGGACACACTGTATCTGCTACCAGTCTTGTGCTGATATTGATGGCAACAACTTTACATTTTTATGTATGTTTGAGTTCAGTGGTGAGCCAACAGTTCCAAGCACATATTCCTCCATGTATTAAAATGTCTATACAATTTTCTGCTGATTTAATTTACAAACCTTTCCAGTTAGCAATTCAAAGATCAGTGCACCAAAACTCCACCAGTCAGCTGCTGGAGTAAGCTGAAAAATTCCATTTACCTCTGGGGCAGCGTACAGTCTTTTGACGGCATCAGGACTTACTTGAGAATCAACATCATCCCAATGACATATATATGTGAGAAGGAGATGTCCTTTCTCACCTAGTAACACATTGTCAGGTTGTAGGTCCCTGAAAAGCACAGTCATTGATGTAGTGGTGGACTGTATGAGACAGGATACAAAATACAAACTTTCTCTTATCTAACGCTAAACTGAACTTTTTTTACCTCACCATCACAAATATGGCTCTGGTGACTGTGTTAAATGATGATATAAACAAAGCAGTAGTAATCATCGCACTACCAAAACTTGGATTAAATTAACACCACAAAATTTGTATTTATCTTTCCACTTGATAATGGTTTTCCTCGGTCTCTCCAAGCAAATGCTAGCATAGTACCTTATAGTAGGCTACGAGTACTTAATTCCATGTCTTTTCCAATTCATTATTCATAAATCATCCCATTATTTGTTGATATATTGTCACACCTACTGACAGCATTGTTAAATAAACCACAAATAAATAAGACAATGATAATTAATGAATCAATGAAATTCAGTATGGAGACAGTTCATAAACACAGCTACAATTCTGTAAAAAAAATATTCTTTTATATCTAAAAATATAAAACATGGTAACAGTGCAAAAATGTTAATGTTATGTTCAAAAACCATCCAGGTATAGGAATCTGTAGCATCAGATATTATGCACAAAATAATCACGTTATATAATTATTAATCCATAATTCCTCCTACCTTCTGTGTACAGACAGCTAAAATGGTCACACAAAAATTCATTGATTCCTTCTACCTCTTTGCTGTGAAAACTATCAATTACCTGCAGATGATTCCCCACTGGTGTAATGCATCAAGCACAACAACTAATTCAGCTGCCCACATACGGATATTGGCCTCAGGTAGACGGGGTTTGGGGAGATCTATCATGGACTGCAGACGTGAAAACTGTTGTGTCTGATCCAGACTGCCAGATAAACCTCGCCCATGTCCCTCAAATACATCCTGCAAAGCACAAACAACACTAACAAAGATTTCTGTCTTCGGGGGTTGTTGCGCTGTGTAGTCTGGTCGATGTTAACCAACGTTTCAGAGGTCATACTGCCTCCGTCATCAGGGCAATTGAAACGTTGGTAAACATCGACCAGACTACACAGCACAACAACCCAGCAGACAGAAATCTTCATACTCATCGCTGTTAAAACATCAAATCTTACAGCACTAACAAACATTTCAATATCCAATCAATTAACATCATACCCACTGACTTGCAGGTCAATATAACGACATGCAACAGATCTTAAGGTTTCATGGTGATTAATTTTTACTGCCAATTCTGCTTTTGGGTGCCAACTTTCACATGGTAATAATAATATTTTATTACATTCCATGGATCCATAAGACAGTCAGATGACAATAGGATGTGGAAAAAGTCATAATAATAATAATAATACAATACATATTATAAAGTACAATTCGTACTATTATATATTTTCTGTGTTTAAAAGATTAACACGTACTCACATCATTACTATAACGACGTTCTGATGACGTTCTGGCGTGTGATGTAACTGAACGTCTTCTCCCAGCAGATAATTTTCTTTCCTTCCTCCTTGTACTGGTCGTTGTAGCTACGTCTTCCGACCTACATCGTACTACAGATTTAATTTTGACGGTTTTATTTATGCCTCCCTTTACTGCAGCATTTTCTTCCTCTTCCGTTACTATATTAGAGTCACAGTTATTAAGGAATGTATTTGCAATAATATGTGTATTCTTCTTGCTTCTGCCATCCCCTTTTTCCATATCTTGTTCTACAACGACACTACCAACTTTCACATTTTGTAATCGACTTGCAACTGTTTCACTATTGTACAGTGTCTTATTTACAGATTCAAGGAGTTTCTGGGAATTTTCAACCAAGTCCACTGTATCCAAACTTTCAAGATTCTTCCATGATAAAAGAAATATAGATTCTTGCGATAAAACATTTGGTATTGGGTTGCTGGTAGCATTTTTTACGTGCTTCTGAGGCAAAGTTTGAACAGTATCTGCTAAGTTGTTCAAACTATTGTCCTCTTCTCGGAATTCTGACATAGAACAATTATTTTCAAATTCTCTATTCAGTTTCTCAATGTTAAAATCATATTTATCTGATATTTTATCACCTTGCATGCTACCCTGAACTTTTACACTACTCTGACTATTTTTATATAATTCCTTATCAAATCCAAACAGTTTATTTGTTGTTGCTGAAGTATAATCACGGATTAGTTCTAAATAACTGTGGTCTTGACTAGAAACAGAGTCTGCGTCATCAAATACTGGAACATCTTTAGTATGATAAGTTGGAGCTGTATCTCTGTCAGGAAGCTGTGTGAAGTTGGTGCTTTCTTCACTGACTTCATCTTTTATCAATTTCTTTCCCAAATAAACATTTCCTACAGTCAGGTCATGTACTGGGGTTGGTGGAAGAGACTGGAAATACGAACCCACATGATCCCATAATTTGCCACCACTGAAAATAGAAAATATAAATTTAACACATATAATTATGATTCACATTTAAAATATCTGAAATATCATATAAAATATGAACATACCGTGAATTCCCAATGGCAAAAAATAACTACACTATCCAATTAAATATCACAGACAACTCAAAAACTGAATATAAGCAATAATAAATTATAATATGAAAAAAACTAAAAATACGAGGTCTAAAATGATCTGCCCTGCAGCCTGTTCACTCCCCATTATGTGAGAAATAAAAATTGTAGAAAATTCCACATTGGGCTAGCTTATAGCACTGGACAACTCTTTATGCCAGCTATATCAATCATTTGAGAAGAATGAGATCGGCGGGGCATGTAGCGCGCATGCATGGGACAAGAGGTGTGCACCGGGTATTGGTTGGGAAGCCTGAGGGGAAGAGACCGCTAGGGGGACCTAGACGTAGATGGGAGGATAATGTCAGGCGGGATCTATGGGAGGTAGGAGTCGAAGGAGACTGGATTTTGTTGGCTCAGGACAAGGCCCGGAGGAGGGCTTTGGTTAATTTGGTGATGAGCCTTCGGGTTACGTAAGCCGACTAGTTAGTTAATTTTATATCAATCATTTTAAATGTCAGTAGTGAGCTGGTTAGTTGGCAGTTGATTGAGTTGTGTACCTTGCATGCTGGAGAAGAAGAAACACCGCTGACTCAGTCTCAAAGTATCCATGTAGTTTCACCATGTACGGAACATCTTGAGGCACAATTGAACATTTCACGTCACTTACGGGACAAGGCGATTTGTGTAACACCTTCATAATGTAGCACCGATCCTCCAGTGTGTTCAACACCAACATGATGGTGTTAATAACACCTAAGACTTTGTAGAACTGGAGATCTGACAGTGGACGCTGTAACTGCATACTGGACTTCGGCTTTCAACAAACACAGATTGAACAACTTTGTAAATAACTTCACCACAGAGTTCCCAAAACAAAACAAAATAAGATAAATGTTTCATTTGCTGCCAGAACTAAAATAGAAGCCTGGGCTTGAGATTCAGCCAGTGAATAGGTTTCAAAAATCAGGCTCGTGGTCCTTGTGTTCATCAAACTGTGTGTCACACTTCTTGTAATAAATTCTGACCCAACTGATAGATTTTAATGTAATCAGGTATAAACGTCAAGCCAATACATGTGACTCCATTTTTATACTTCTTAATTTAACATCATCAGTAACACCAACATGGCAGTTATGCACATTTCCAAGGTGGGGGGAACACTAGCATCCCTTAATGTAGGATCATAACATTTTGCATGGTAATATGTAACTTCTTTTAATGTGTTTTCCTTTAGTAGAATTTAAAACAACATAGTAGATATATGAGATTGTTTGACGGTGACAACAAATAAATCATTCAAGAATAAAGAACAATCATTAAGTATACCTACAAATTGCATATGATACATTTTATATGCCTTAAAAATGTATCATATATACCTCATCACTGATCCATATAAAACAAATAATGCTAGAAGAAAAAAAGACTTTTATATGTTTTTATATACCTGCAATTGCAATTTAAAATATAGCAGTATGGAAAACTATGTAACAAATGTAACCTAGAGGAACCTAATGGAAATTATATATAAAATATATTACAAAGTTGTATAATTATTAATTTATAGTACCTGCCACGCTCACCATGTAAAAAGAAGCAAATGACGGAAAAAATATATTACAATTTATTTCTAGAACCTGTTAATATATTTATTGGCAACTAAAGGACATGCAACTGCATATCGAAATACCGAAAGTCCCCAGCAGTATGACAGTAATGGTGAAGCATGACAAATATTCACAAAAACCTGCATAGCGAATAATATGATTCTTACATCCCATACTGATAATTCTGCAGACTTTGATGCTAAATGCTGAATGTAAATCTTCTCGGCCTGGAGAAGGTACCAGGCTGTCTTTTCTCGAACAACTTGTTTTCGCTTATTATTTGAATCTCCTAGACAAACAGAGACCATGTTGCCATTAGGCACGAAGATCTGATATAAGCACAAGCAGCTGCTAAGTGCAAAGGACCTACAACATTGGAAGAAACAGTGAACAGCTAGACAGTTAAAAGAAGAATAGTGCAGTACTTTTAATGATATTATTGCTAACATCACTGACAAAAGTGAATCAATTAGAGGAACATGAAGACCATGGGAAAACATCAATTTTCTTTTCAGCCAAGAGTCAAAGTGTTAATCATCCTCATGATATAAAACCATACCTTGAACACCACCCAGAAGACACGCAATACCAGTCTTGTAGAATGCAAATGCCGCATCATACTCTCCCTTGGCTTCATGAAGTTGTGCCTGTCCTACATGGTTAGCCGCCTCAATGATGTAGCCGGCAGGCTCTTGTGTTACATTGCCTGGCGTCCCAGGGGATGTCAGATATGCTTCAAAGTCCTCCCTAGCTGCACAAGGACTTCGGGATTCCATTTGAGAGGAATATGATTTTATGTTTGTGTCATGTTGCGGACTGGAAACAGATTTTTGTTCTGGCAACTGCCAAGGATACTGTCTTTGCTCATTGCTATTAGAGTTTGTTGCTTCCCCTGAAGGAATACTTTTCTCTTCAGAAATGGTGGGTGACAATTTTTGCTGTGGTGTTGCTCCATCAATACTGATGTCAGTTTGTGAGTTTTCTGGACCAGGTGACAAAGACAGCAACCAACTATTACTCACCTGAAATTGTTAAAAGACTAAGGTTAGTAATATTACATTTATTTACATTTTCTTGTTTTACCTACCATCCACATCAGTTATCTTAAGCACTGCAATCTCTGTCTCTGCTATAAAATGCCTGACAAAAACTCTGACCCCAAGCCTTTTACTCAGTACTCTTAGATGATGTTAAAGTTTTACACCGACGTTATACTTTTAATTTTTAATCGCTTTTGTGAAAATAATTTTTGGTGGTAATAAATATAAAATTACTTAATTTTTGTTTCATTTACAATGTTCACATTTCAGTCTCGGTGAATGAAATGCAGAAAAGTCTTACTTCAGAGTGGAGAACTTTTCTCTCATTTTTCTGTTCGCTGTTCAATGGCTGTCTGGTCGGAGTCTGCTGCAGTGGATCAAAAAATTGCAGATCTGCACTCTGTTAAAATTAAAGGTTTAGAATCACATTACAACACCGACAGCAATATCAAACAAAAAGGAAAGCACTAAAATTTAGCTAATACTAACAGACTTCTATAATACTGAATAATGGAATTGATAGATCAAGCCTATCACTAGCTTTCCAGACAGTTGTCCAATGCACTGTAGATGGCAACTACAGCATTAAATGGCCCAAAAATACTGTAGATGGCAACTACAGCATTTAATGGCCCAAAAAGTAGATGATTAAAGCTGATTAGAGCAGAATCCCAACAGATACTTCTTTGTTTAAATTGGGTATTTATTCTGGACAAAAAAATTGTATAATATATAATGAATGTATTTACATATTATGACCCAATCATAATTTCATACTTCATAACGCAGACTCCGCTGCTACTCAGTTACATACATTCTTTGTAAGATTTGAGGTTCTCACAGCGGTGAGTATGAA